CTTAAGGGTGTGCCCATGGGGTTGGCTTCTGAGAGAAGTGCTAAAACATGTGCAAAATGGCTACTACAGATTGAAGGTCTCGATCACAACTGGAGTACACAAAACAAAGCTCTGTCCTCAAGATCCCGGTGCTACCTAATTCTGTCTCTCCAGGTCTTTAATTTCCAGCCATTGGAATTGCCTCAAATCCATTTTGGCACAGAATACATAATTATTTTCATATTGTGCTAGTCTACTCGCCTGCTTTCATCCCTATGAGCCAGGAGTGAATAAGAGTTGGCAACTTTATACTCGACTATTATATTGCAGAGTACACTTTAATCAGCACCCTAATAAATAGCACGCCCAATTAATTGGGATATTTGCCAGCAAACCAATTCCATTCCCTGCGCTTCAGTGGCTGTAAATGATGGATAAATAGCATTCTTGATGTTCTGCGAGCATATTTGTTGTAATTAACAGGTATGAGTTGGTGTTTGCTGGCATGTGTTTCCTCAGTAGCTTGCTCCCTTTTTAGTAGGCTCCCAGTTCCCATGCAGTTACTGAAAATAAATAAAGAACAGATTTCCCTTCCAGTATTTACTTAAATCAAGGTAATCCTTTTGTATTAAAAAAAAGAAGTAATCTATACATTACATTGCCACATGGTTTTGACAATAAAAGGTAGTAATATAATTAGCATGTTTCTGTTTTAATTAGTATGGTAAAGAGGTCCTTGCCACACCATGGAATAATTTACAATAAAGGAGAGATTTCTGCTGCAGCTCTCTAATGTTATTTTTTTTGACCAGGGGTTGCACAGTGGTTGACTTTAAAGCCGTATTTCCTTGAGGGACATCCACAGAAATACCATCTATTTTCATAAACTGGTATATGCTATGATTTACTGTAGACATGTGACAGTTTCTCTTATTTGGACATCCTTTGCCAAAAAAGTAAATAAAAATGAACATGGTAAACTTTTCTAATCCCTGCATTCCTCACAGATTGCTTTAGTGGTGACTGAAAAAAATATTGGAAGTAAAGGAATATGAAAAGGGAAATGGTACTGGAGAAATCTCAACAAGGGATCTTAAAAACCAGGATGGCTATGGATCAGCAAAGGGTAGAAACATTTGTGTAATTAAAGGAGAACATAATTTGTGGGTTATCTGAAAAAAATTGTCCGGGTTGGCATTTACTTTGACTTGTTGGCAGGAGGAAAAGAAACCGCCCTGTACCACTGTGTAAGGTTCCTTATTAGTTGTGGCTTCTGCAGAGACTCCATCTCCTCTTTGGAGCATGGAGGATTTCTTTCATTACATAATCTGGAATTTTTATTTTTTTTTTTTAATAGATTGAATTTTTTTTTCTCCAGTGTGTGCAAATTCTCTTTGCCCCAGTGCTTCTATACTGAGGTTATTATGCTGAAGGAATGCAAGCGTCTAGAGTAACAATGGTTCATTTTCCTTTAATGACTTTGTCGACAGGATGGAGACATTTTTGTGGTGTGATGAATTCACTTGGTCTCCCGTTGTGTTTTCTCCACATGCTTTGGAAACTCTCTCTCTCTCTGAGAATTGTGGCCATCCACTCCAGCAAGAGCTTCATTACTTTATATTCATTGTATTTAAATGACACCCCAGTGGTACTGACCTCCTGGGATGATTGATGTAAATTATATGCTATGTAGGGGGAAAATAAAATCTTTTTCTGACTTTTTATGTTCTGCAGAGAAATAAAAAGTGAAAACAAATGACAGAGAATATCAGGGCTATTCAAAGTGAAACTTTGTAAGCATTATGGTTTGAGCAGACTCCAGTTTGTAAAAGTGCTGAGACAGTTCATAATGACCTCATGATCTGAAAGGTGACCTGAGAAGGGGGAAATAATTTTGTATGTGCCCTTTTTCGGTTCTGTATAATACATAACAAAAACCTGATCATGTTTTTTTTTCCCGCTTTGCAAGTATTGTAAGAATTCAGACTTGAGCAGGGAGCAGCCTCTGCACTTTTATCAGCTTGACAAAGGCACATTATTAGAAGGGACACCTCAGTGCTCTTTCCTCCTGTCTTCTAGCAGATTTTCTCATATTGACTCTGGATTTTGTAGCCAGTAGGTATCTGTCTTGTTCAATTATTCTGCCAGGAGTTATCACCTATAGGAGTGGCAACAGGGGGAATGTTCTCTCATCAGCCCAACTCATCATCGGGCAGGAACTTCAATCCCTCATGAACTGGTAACCTCTCACTGCAGGCAAAAGGGTTCTGCACAGCAACACAATTTGTCAGGAAATGTTTCTGTCAGTGCTTTTTCAGGCACCTCACCAAGTCACACTGCTTCTATCCAACTCCTGGAAGTTATGTAGCTCACACTGGATATGCTCAACCATATCATCCCAGTAATTCCCGTATTAAAATTACCATATGGGACTGGCATAGTAATTTCTCTATTTTTTCTATGTTCTTATATTATTCTGTCCTACCAATTCTGAGATATATAAAGATATGCATAGAAATGTCAGTAATATGCTGCCTCGCCTCCCTCAGTTTAATGTAAGCTTCTGACAAATCAAAGAATTTGGCTAAAAACTCGAGTCGCCTCAAGTTTTTCTGCAGTACTTTTCATAACCTGACAGAATGTTTTGATTCTTCTTTTCTCCAGGAAAATGCTTATTGATAATCCTGCTTTGGCTGGGGTTGCCCAGATATTTTAAAATATGTAACAGGAAGGAACTGTTCAGGCCATCCTTCTCACAGCAATGACTGAAGACTTTGCTGTGCAGGCAAGAATCAGCAGAGTGAGGCCTTTCATTCTCCAGGATAATATCTTGGTGTTTTGCCCTGTTGCTGTCAGTGCTCGGGCTGGTATCGGCTTTACTTCCATAATCGTAAGCAGCAGCAGCAGCAGAAGGGAGAGGGGCTGGCAGCACTCGGCAGCGAGCTGCAGAATCACCTCGTCTTTCTGAGGCTGATGTGGGAGGTGGGAACAGGGAGGAAGCAACAGAGGGGACTGACAGAGTGTTTATATGAAGTAGCAAGAAGGACAGGGAGTGAGCAGTAGCCAAAAAAAAGTAAGGACAGCAGAAGTCAGCTAAGGGAAAAAGAAAATAAGATTATTTTCTACTAAACTGGAATTCAGATTGTCCCTAGAGTGTTAAGATCACTGCAGTGGTTGCCAGAGGCTTCTTCTTCTTCCTTTTTTATCTAGGCCCCCAAAGAATAAAATACTGATATTTACATAAAATTACAAAGTCTCTAAACTGTCAGTTTTTTAGAATTAATCCCAGTAAAATGATATAAATCCTGCTTGGTGTGTAGGCAGGAGTTTGAATTAAAAAGGGACTAAGGAGGGCAAAGTAAAAGAGCCTAACTTTTGAAGTTATATGCCCCACAAACGTTTCAGGAAAGTTAGATTTTTTCCAAAGCACTAATGGTTACTCCACTTACCTCTGTTGGTCCCATTTATTAGTTCCCCTTTATACCATTGCACACATCAGCCTGTCTACCAAGAAACCTGCATGTCATGAGTGGAATGACCGAACTGAACTCATAGAAACCTACTATTAGGAGGTGTCCAAGGAAGAACTTGAAAGGAGGAAGGAAAAGTTAAAAGAAAGGAAAGGTTGCCTAGCAATGCCCTTCCCCATCAACCTGTTGAATTGGCAGGATATAGGAAGAGGAAAGCCACCATTGCCAGGAATCAAGAGAAAAACATGGGTATGTAACCACACCAATTCACTGAATCAGCACAGAAAAGAACAAAATATTTCAGCTGGAAGGGACCAACAACAATCATCCAGTCCAATCCCCTGACCATGTCAGGACTGATGCAAAATTAAAGCATGACCAACATTAAAGGATAATGATATTGTTCCAATGCCTCTTATACAGTGGAAGAAGTAGAGCATCAGCCACCTCTCCATAAGCCTGTTCCAGTGTCTGACCACCCTCTCAGTAAAGGAAGTCTTCCTAATGTCCAGTCTAAATTTCCCTGGCTCACCTTTGAACTATTAGTGTCATGGCTGAAATAGTACAACTGGGTTTTGCTGTTGTACCATTGGTGTTTCCAAGGGTAAAAGATGAACACAGGTTGCTGTCGTTCACACTGCTGTTTTTGAATGCCTGTACAAAGCTGTGGCTGCAGAGATGAGAGTGTGCTGGCACCTGTGCTGAGGCCAGACACTTGTGTATGCCCACACCTCCCTGCTGCAGGCACATCCAGCTGTCTGTCCCCAAAATCCCCAGGCTTTTGGGACTCATAGCAGCCCTGGAGCCCCTTCCTGCTGCTCTCCAGCAATGCCTGGCACTGAAGGGGAAGAAAAAGGTGGTCATGGCCCACCAGGCAGCACCTGCAACACCATCCCTGGAGGTGTTTAAGGGAAGACTGGACTGAGGAACACGGTCTGGCTCCCAAGGTGGTGATCTGTCATAGGTTGGATTTGACAATCTCACAGGTCGTTTCCAACCTAATTGACTGTGTTATTCACAGAATCACAGAATTGTTAAGGCTGGAAGGGACCTTGGGAGACCATCCAGTCCAACCCCTCTGCCAAGGCAAGATCACCTGGAGCAGGCGACACACAAAGGCGACCAAGTGGGTTTGAAATGTCTCCAGGGAGGGACAATCCACAGAATCCCTGTGTAGCCTGCTCCATTGCTCTGTCACCCTCAACGTAAAGAAGTTCTTCCTCATGTCTAGGTGGAACTTGTTGTGTTTCATTTTATGGCCACTTCTCCTCCTCCTGTCGCTGGGCACCACTGTAAAGAGCCCGGCACAATCCTGACACCCGCCTTTGCGATATTCACACGTATGAATCCCCGGTGATCCTGCGAGCGGCGGAGGCGGGAGGAAGCGGCGGCAGCCCCGCCTCACCCCGGCTCCTCCCCGCGCCCTGGGAGGCGCCACCGCCCCCGCCTCCATCTGCGGGGCGGCCGCTGTGGCGGAACCGGCTCCTCCCCGGCGCGGGCGGCGCCATTTTACCCGCCCCCCCCCCCAGCGGCGGTGGCGGGCGGGGGGAACAGCGCAAAGCCGCCGCCGCCGCCGCTGCTTTTCCGTCCCCCTCGTTTGTCGCCTCGGTCCAGGCAGCGCGTGGAGGGGAAGGACCGAGGTTCAGTTCCTGCCCCTCGCTTTCCTCTCTCGGCTGTCCGCACACGGGGTGGGGGGACCGGGCACCACAAGCTGCTCCTACCTTCCTTCCATCCTTCCTCCCCTGCACATCTCAGCCTCCTCATCCATCCTTCCATCCATCCCCAGGGGTGAGCCTTTGAGTGAGTCACCAGAGAGGGCACGCAATTAGGGAGTGTGTTGCTATTAATTAACTTAGCGAGGCTGCTCGTTGTTGGGGCCTTCAGGAGCATTAACGGGGCTGTTCCTGCCCGCGGTACCTGTGGCGCGGGGGGTGCGGGGGCGCGGGGTTTTCTGCTGGCCTTCAGTGTTACATTGGACCCTGCCCTGTCCTGTTCGTTTTGTCTTGCAACTAATTTAGGAGGTGTTCCTACGACTCCTTTTTATTTTTCTAATATATATATATATATATTTTAAGATTCTTTACAATTACGTCACAGTGGCCGAGCTTTGGCCTGCAGTTCAGTGTACTGCTGGTTGTTAATTTCTTCGTGTCACTCTAATGTTGTGAAATGTGACTGGTTTGTAAATTTCTTCTGGAGGAAATGGATTTTACTTATTTTGCCCGAACAGGTGCGGTGATTCCCTAACTGGAACCCTGTGGTATTCCTTATTTGGAATCTGGTGCATTTGGCTGCTCGTTCTTGAGAAATTTTGGATACGTACATTGATGCCCTAACTTAAAAGTATTCCTGATATGCCAAAATGTTCTCACAAGGTCTGTCTATAGTGTTCCTTATAGAGGGTATTAGTCCTTACAGGAATTAGTGGTAAATGGTAAAAGCTTAGGACTGACGGTCCAAAAGAATGTTTCTCTGTGTTAGCTGTAAGTTATTTTTCCACTTTAGAATATTTTTATACTTCCTGTGTACAGATCAACTGCTTCTAAGTTCCTAGAAATGACACAAATGGATGATTTGCAGTTGATGGCTGCAAAGCATATATACATGCAAAATATATATTACTGTGTTTGTGAAATGGGAGCAGGAACCTGGTGTTGCAGACAATGCAAATTTGCTGTATGGCATTAGTGTTAGTGATTTATTGTGAGACGTTTGATTTCCTACAAGTGAATCTGTTTCAAGGTTTGCAGCAGTGTTGGTGTTTCACTAAAATTTTCTTTTGAAGTCTTTTCTGTAACTCCAACCTCAATCTCTTGGTACAGGCCTCACTTTCCCTTTGGATTAAGGTAGCAGCGTTTACTTGGCAGGATGCAGGGCATCCACCCTCTCCCTTTTTGCATATCGTTCTTTACTGTTGGCCAGATCCAAGTGGTATGGAAGGCAGTGTCGGTCCTTTTGTTAACTTTGGTGGACTTTACACAGGCTCTTCCTATTTGCATGTTACTAATATACAAATCACATTTTGTTTTATTTTGGTTCCTTTTTATCCTGTGTATTGTTGCTGTGTAGATGGGAATGTTGATGGCAAAAGTAGATTTCTAAGTGTAACAGGATAAAATTATGGTTTTGGAAAGCCTCATCTTTCTCTGCTTGTGAAAGTTTGAAAAAGTTAGTTTTCAGTTAAAGAGCTTAGCTGTGATGATTCTGAAGAAAAGTTTGAGCTCTAACCAGAATATACTAAAACTGCAGGAGGAAAAGCTCAAAGTTGTGTTTCTGAGATGTAAACAAGAAATCCTTTAGTGGCATTTAACTTGTGTTTTTCAGATCTATGGATTTGAAGTCATTGCTTAAGATTTCACAGAACTCTGTGGCCTTTAGAGCCTCTGAGTTTCATAACCAGCTGAATTACTCTCCTGGGCTCAGTTCTGGCTAGTACAGAACGGAGCTGTTTGAGAGTTGATTGGTCAATTAGTAACTTGTCACAGCTTAGGCAAGCTGTAATTTAGCAAGCTACAAATGTTTTAAGAATTGCCTACATGTAAGAGCGTAGAGCAACAGTGAACATTGTTCATGTTGTTACTGCTGTTCTGCTGGGCTGCCCTCGAGCAGTGAGACCAGCTAGACTGTGTCTTTCTAGGTCATCACTCTAAGGGTGTTCTACGGCACGAGGCCAAACCAAGGCAGTGTAATTATACCGTAGAAAATAACTGAGTTAATGCTCTTGTTGCAATTGGAAATACCCAAATGTGTATTTGGCCTGTGTTCTCATGGAACCAGGCAGTGGTGACTCAGTTACAAGCTTATCTGGAGCTGATCAAAAAATCTGCCTGTCAAAGGTACTGAAAGTGGTATTGATTTGATCTGCAATCTGTGTTTCAGGTTCTTGGCATTTGTAGTGCTACGTGGAGTCGTTATTAATTTTAAGTAATCTTAGTAAGTGTTCTTTTGCAAGCTATCACAGGTGAAATTTCTATTTATAAATAATCTTTGGCTTTTCTCTACCCCTGTATTTTGCATACGTTTGAAGTATCATGTTTGATTACAATCAGACTTTCACAGAGTCAGCTGCAAAATTTCTAGTTCACACAGCTCCTTGAGCCATCGCAAAAGTAGTAGTAGTGGAAAAAAGGGCCAAGAGCTTGCTTGGAAGATGTGATTTCCAATAGACTTTTGTGGAAATGTAGGCTTTTTTACTTGAAATGCCATTCAAGCATATGATTTTTAAAAGCATTTAACAATGAAGAACTCTATTGATAATTCTTCTGATTAGGCCCAGTACCAAGGTGTACCTGGGAGAAATGTGTATTCATTTTAGCAGGAACTTACTGGATATCATCTGGGACTATGTGATCTCTGAAAAGGGCTGGGTGGGCCTGAATGTCACTGACATATTTTTCGACAAACTCCTAAAGAGCTAACTTTCATGCTTTGACCTTATATTAAAGCCATGGCTGTTTTTCCTGTAGCTTTACTTGATTTAGATGTTGCATAGATGAACAACAATGGAAGTAGACATTTTCCCCTCCAGAGAATTTATACTTGTGGTGGTAAGCACTGATTTCTGAAATGGGAACAGCCCCACAACAAGAATTGGATTTTTTTTTTAAATAATCTTAGCTATAGATTTGGCTGCTCATTCTTGATGAGGAATTTTAGATATGTATGTTGATGCCATAACTTGATGGTATTCCTGATATGCCAGAATATTCAATTAAGGTCAGGGTGGAACTATGAACTAATATTATGAAATGATTTTAATTGTATTTCACATAGTGAATCAAACACAGCTCAGGGTGATATGAGAGAAGGGTTGATGTAATCAGTGTGATATGTTGGGAAGATGCCATTTTGAAAGGAGATGAAGGCAGGTAAAGGTTTAGACAGAAAAGGAAAATACAGTTTAAAGTTAATGATGACTTGGTTATGCTTCACAGAAAACATCTGTTAGTAAACCCTTAAATTTTAATTTATTTTAAATGGAGCTGAAGGCAGATGGGGACTCATGCTCAATAAAGGAGTTGCTTGCTGGCCAGTGAGCAGTAAAACGTATTGACAGGGCTAACCTGACCTCTTCCCATTAATACAGGAATGCTTTACTCGTCAGAAAAAGCAAAATACTGAGCAAGTCACAATGGGGGCCTGTTCATCCTTGCATGCTGGAGTCAAGTATTCAAGTCCTTGATGACTTGGAAGCTTTTTTTTTATCACCAGACCTGTGAGCACACCTTGTATTTGCTTCACTGAAAATTGCAAGTGGTTCCCACGGGAAGGTCATGACCACTGAATTGCATCTCTGCACAATTATTAAAATAATTTGTATAGAAGGTTTGTAAAACCTGTGTATTAAGAAAAAACAATTGCTAGCTGAAATAAATTCAGGGTTTTAGGAGTCAGATTCTGGAATCTGTGAGAACTTGGCTGTTAGTTTCAGGTTGTTTGGTCTTTACACTGTTTTCTTAAAGCATTTTTAGTAAGGAAGGAAAAAGTCATTTGTGCTTAATTTGCAGTGCTGTTAACTGCCAGTGTGGCACAAAGCTCTGCAAAGAAGTATGCACATTCAGTTCAGAGGGTGGTGGGTGTATATATTGGATTCATTTTGTCTGCTTCCTTTTTAAAAACCAATGTCTCACTTCTGGGGAAGGACACAGTTGTGATTAGACTGGAGTTGGGAACTCTGAGAAGTGTTTGTAAACACCTCCAGATGTCAAGACAGAGCTCTCAAGTAAAATTATTCTCTATATTTCCTAGTCTCAAATAAAACAGTAACATCTGTGTATTAGTATTCTTTCAGTAGTCCAGACCCTTCTGTGGTCTGGTTCAGACGAAGCTTAAAGTAACTGTCATGTCTAACATGGGGATGGACAAATAGTAGCTTCAAATGTGAGCACATGCATTTGGAGTAAAACACAGCAGTTATTTCATACAATGGAGTCAGAAGGTTTTATCTTAGTCGGAGGTTGGTTTAGTGACTTTTCTTTCCTTGTTAAGTCAGTGAGAGTTGTGCTTGTTTACTGCTTTCATGCTAGGTCTTCAGTAAAAAAAATGCAGAAAGACTCTGAGATGTAGAAATGAACAGGAAGGGTTATTTTATCTTCAGGGATGTTGAACAGGACAGTTCTAAAGATAAAATCATTAGGATGCATATTTTTCTTTGGATGAAAATATGCCTACATGTATTAGAAAATTTGTTTTACCTGTTGTTGTCAGCCATGCATGTTTCTTCTCTAACTTCTACATGGGAATGAATGACTGAAATGCCTTTTAAATGGACAAGGGGAAATTATGTTCAGTTGTATTCCTTGTATTCGTGTGGGCTTTCCAAGCATGTTCACTTCTAAGAGATTGTCATGGTTAAAGATGAGATGCTTATTTGTCTGGGTGGTGAAAGCTGGGCTGTGCATTGACAGCTATAAGATGAATAATTCTTTCTGGTATTCAGTTTAAAATAAAACTACCCTAAGAATCCGGTCTATCAAGTAATAAATGGAAGCAGTAGCAGCAGATGTAATGTTATCCTTAGAATGAATAGTGCATGCATTCTGCTTTGTGGTACTTTGTTAATTAATTAAAAATGAAAGAATGCTGAGATTGCAGCCTGAGCTTTGAACAATATTCTTGTGTGCAGACCTGGTGCAGATGTGTCCCTGCCTGCTCACAGATTGCTTCTAATTCTGTATTTGGTCTGACTGTTCCCTGAAAGTTTGTGCCTTTATCTCCTTGGCTTTTTAAGATGATCTGCTTAGGGAATATGGAAGTTATTCATCCTATTTCCTGTAAGCAAAACCATTTTTTAATTGTCA